GAGCAAATGACAGGAAAATATCTTCTAACAGAGCAAGAAGGCAAGCAGCTGTAACCCAAGACCACCAGTAAGGTGATAAAGTATCCTCCTTTCCCCCCTTTACATCTACGCTCCTGTTCAGCATGAAGAAGCCAGAGAGTCGGCATCCAATTCCCAAATCAATAAGACAGTTGGTTTAATTACTACTGGAAAATACTTGTCATTCCTCTGTAGCATCTGGTCCCCACTGGAACCTCATCATTTCCTTCACCTGCTCCGCCCACTGACCAAACTGTGCAGCTCTGCAACTGCATCCTGGCCCATCGTCACCCTTCTGACCCCAACCCCCACCTCCTTGTACCCCCAATATGTTTTTCCCAATAAAAAAAACAACAAAACAAAACAAATAATCAGTTTAAAGAGGCTAATGTCCAAAATTCTATTTCACAGAGATGTACAATAGGTTCTTTAAAAAAAATAAGTTACATAAATCTTTCTGGGCACAAAATTCACATCCTGATGACTATGGACACAATGAACAGAAAGAAGCTTATGCACTGAATGCAGGCTGCAACTGGTCAGTCTTCCCAGATATGCTGCGCAGGCTTGGCTGACTGACCACTGAGGCCTAGGACAAGTCAATGCACTTTCTTTCTGGGAAGATGCGCCCCGACCTTGGGGTCCTTGCTGACCCACAGTGTCCTCCGCTGCTGGGTGTGGCTGCAGACTGAGGTCGCTTCTGCCATCATTCCAACTATGGTTCTTCCTTCAATGGGCTCACATAGATAAATGGCGCAGCTTTCTTTCATCTAGAAGGACAGGCCAGGTATGATCTCTTTGGGTCTCAATCTTTCCCTGTCATCACTGCTGCTCAGGTGCCTGTTTAGGAGATGGAGCCGTAGTCACAACAACAGTGGACACTGCTTTGGAGGAACCTGAAGCTGTTCCTTGCTGGAGATGGGACGCTGGAACAGTCTGAATCCGGACCTGTTCGTAAAGAGACAATATCTGATGAGTAGGCAAGTGACTAAACTTGCTAGAAGAAAGGAGATGACCGGGACCTCATAAACAGGTGTCTTATGCCCATGCAAAAGACTTCTTCAAAAAGCACAACAACTCAGAGACTGGTAAAAATTATCTGACAGTGACATCTCTAAAATTGACAAAAAGATAAACAAAACAAATTACAAAATAAGACAAGGGAATGAAAGACACTTTACCAAAGAAGACATTCAGATGGCCAACAAACACAAAAAGAAAGCTCAATTATCATTAGATGCAACAATGAAATAGCAGCTCACATCAGCAAAACCAGCAATGTTCAATGAGCCAACTAACAACAAGTGCTGGCAAGGCAGTGGCCAGATTGGAACTCTCATACACTGCTGGTGAGCACACAAAATGGTATAATTACTACACGAAAAAATTTGTTATTAGCTTAGAAAATCAGGAATAGAAGCACCAGTGAGTGGCCCAGCAACCACATTACCCTATATATAGATATAGATATATATTATACTATATATCCCTTAAGAAAAAGTACTGCAACATGATGACATGTTCACATCCATACTTCAATATTATAACTGCAAAGAGTTGGAAACAACCCAAACATTCATCAACAGACAAATGACTAAAGAAACTATGGTACCTCACACAATGCAGCATTAACATCATTAAAAAACAAGAAGGAATTCATGAAAAACTGCACAACATGGATAATTATGTTGAATGATATAATGCAGTCACAAATGGGAAATTATGGTATAAAAATACTATTATAAACAAGCTAAGGAAAGATTTAAGCACAGAAAGAAATCAAACTTGAAGGAGCAACACTGAAGACAAGTAAGGGAGAAGGAGGCAAAAAGTATTAGTTAAGTTAGATGAAGGGAAAGGCAATACACCATTAGGGACTGATGAGACTTCATCTAATTGCATTAATCAACAGTAATTAATGTTATAAAACAAAATGTCTATAGATGAGTATGTGATTTCTAAACCTTCAGCGTTCATGTTTAAAAATTTGTGGGTTTTTTTGTTGTTTGTTTTTGTTGTTTTTTTAAAAAAAAAGAAGTACAAAGGAAAGAGAGAAGCCTGGAACATGTCCTGGAGCTCACCTGTGTGGCCTGGCCTTGCTGCTGAAGCTGCTGCAGCTGCTGGGCAGTGAGGAAGCTGACGGGGTTACTGCCAGCTATGAGCTTGGTCCCCGCTGGCATGGTGGTGAGGATGATATTGCGGCCCAGACCACTGATGCTGTGGAAAGAAAGCAGAAGGCAAGTCTGACAAACATGATACATCTCTCCAGCCCAAAGGCTGTACACAGAGAGAGAAGTCTAGTATCTAGTAAAAATTCTAGTATTGAAGACAGCTTTTCTCCAAGTTCCTATGCTTCGCACTGCAGCGATAAGAGTCTACACGTTCCCAGTGCTCTTAGTAATACAGAGCTAGGCCTGACACCTCAGTCAGCAGAAGTAACTTCCAGAGGCAAGACACTTGCCCCAAAGCGGCCTCGTCACACAAGCTGCCCCTTGAGACCACAGGCTAGTTCCCTCCTGCTTGCTGGGTTTCTGTTTAAGTCAGGGCTACAAAAAAAGCCCCATTCACTGACTGATCACACATCAGGCTCAAATATCAGAGCATAGCCTTCTGTCAAAGCCACATTTGAAACGACTAACCCATCTCACCCTCTCAATCCCATTCTTGCTTTACTCTTCTCACAGTCTTTACACCAGCCAGTGCAGTATATATTTTATTTTTCATGTTCTCCCTCATTTTTCTATAAAGAACGCTTGGCCAAAGCACAGCTTTTTGTCTGTTTTAATCAATGCTCCACGCCCAGCACAAAAAACAGTACTAAGTGCTCAACAGTGCCAGGTAAAGATACCACTGGAGGGTTCCAGAAAATCCACTGCCTTCTCACATGTTTCCAAGAAAAAGAGTTTCACCCTCCAGGTGTTTCCTCACTTCTCTGCAGCACTTACTTGGCTCCAAGGTTGCCTTTGATGATGGGGGCTGTGACCACATTTTTACCCTTCATAGGCTGGCTAATCACAGAAAGCGGAACTGTGATCCGTGTAGGCAGCTTCCCCTAAAAAAACAATCAGGTTTCAGGGAACAGAAGGAGAAGAGGAAAATCCCAAATGTCACCTTCAGGACTATGAGAACTGAGGAGCAAGACCTGCAGAAACTTTGATTATCACACTCTCCAGAGTCCCAGTAAGTCTGAGTTTTGGGCTAGGGCAGCACTCAGAAATGCTCCCACAACTCTAGTCGTCAAGTGCTCAGTAAACATACTGTGGCTGTATGTTGTCACCATGCACATACATACATACATACATACATACATACATACATACATACATCTCTTTGATGCTACAAAAGGAGCAGCTGTAAAGAACCGCAATTATCAGTGTCAAATAAACACTATCCCTAACTTGTAAAGGAAAGCACAAATTCCTATCTATTGTGGCACTAGGCTCTAAAATCCCAAAATGATAGGGCCATACTCATCTCTGTATGTCCAATGTTGTTGTTGTTATTAAGTGCTGTAGAGTAGTAAACAACCCAGAGTGACCTTATAAACAAAATCTTGAACACAACACTTTCATCACACAACACACAAAGTAACTATTTTGATAAACAAATGTTAAGGTAGATAATAAGACACAGTACTGCCCAAGGACTGCTTTGCTAGAATGCACGCTCCACTGCCTGGGAACAGCTGGGCCCATCTGATTAGGAGGGTACACATTCTCCAGGAGAACTCAGGTTCTCCCAGAGATAAGAAAGGTCAGTCAAGGGACGCTAATAATAAACTCAACAGGGTGCAAAGTCCAGCCTCAAAACTAGTAAGGCTAGGAGGAGCAACAATAAAAACATTTAGAGGCTTTGGGCACTTCAGGATTATTTTAGGATGACTAACATCAAGTCACTGTTTATTTACCCTACCTGATTTAAATCCTAAACTGCACACACATATGCATTAAAATCTTATGCAAATCTGAGTTAAAAGTCATTCATGGGAGGGGCTTGCTGGCAGAACAATGAAAATGTCAACTTTTCCTGTAGCCTTAAAGCAGCAAAACTGAGCTTAGAGGCCCACACTGGTCTCTACATTCACTCCCAGCATGTAGCCTCTAAAACAAAGAATGAAAATTACCAGCACTTTGGCCTCAATTCTGACTCCTAAGCCACAGGACAGAGTAAAGACTTCCAAGGCCTGCAATCCCGACAGAAACACACTGCCTCAAACTTTCTCCTGTAGCCTGGATTCAAACCACTGACCTTTCAGTCAGCAACCCAATATTCACCCTCCTTGTCTCCACACTCATTAGGAGCACACCACAAAGCACTAGACAGGTCACGAAAATGGTGCTTCCAAATGCATTTTCTTTATTTATATATGCTTTCTTTATTCCTTAAGAAGCATTTCAGACCACCAGCACATTGGACTGTCCCTTTAAACTAGCTGAGAAAAAAGAAAAGCTCCCTTCAGTACTTCCTGCTCCACCAACCTTCCGATTGCTTAGACTGATAATCAAGGGTAGGGCTGTTATCTATCTTCCAGTTGGAAATGAATCACAGCTGATCCTCCAGCTGGTTTTCAGAGGCAGTAAATCACATGAGGGGAGACTGCTCATCTTTCTCCAGTGGAGCAACTGGTGGTTTTGAACCACAAGTCTTTAGGTTGGCAGTACAACTCCTTACCATTAAACCATCAAAATGCCAAAAGGGTAGGTGGTGGTTGTGGTGTATCAACAAGTCAGAACCAACCAGCAGGTGTGTGTATGTGTATGGTGTGTGTGTGTGTGTGTGTGTGTGCGCGCACGCGCACGCGCGCACACACACTTCTCCAGCAGGTTTCCACGGTAAGTTAATCACATGGGAGGAGAATGCCCATCTGTCTCCAGCAGAGCAAGTGATGGATTCGAACCATGTGCCTCTGGGACTGCAGTGCAGCTTTTTACCACTAGGCCATCAGAGCTCCCTAAAGGGCAGGTAAATAATCTCTAAAAAACATTTTTCAAGAACAAAATGTAAGAGAAATAAAATAGGCCAAGTCAGTAATTTCCTTCTTATTTCAACTCCTGTGATAAACTCAACTAAATATTTCCTTTTAAACAACATAGTATTCAGATTTTCTGTTGGTCAAATGTCTTTTATCATCACATTGGGATTTATAACAAATTACTGAGATTTACTATATAGCTTACATGTTGTTATGTGCTATCGAGTCACTTGCAACTCATGGTGACCCTATGTACAACAGCCTTAAAATCTGCTCTATCATGTGCCAATCTTACTGTCTCTGACACACCTATCCCCATTACCCCAGTCACTGAATCAATCCATCTCATGAAGGATCTTCCTCTCCTGCACCGTCCCTCCATCCTCCCAAGCATGAATATAGCTTACATACACAAGAAAAGCTATGTTTGTACTTTTCATATGAGAACTCCACTTTTCAGGCCAGTGCACTGTATCTAGTGGTAACTTTAAAGAATAAACACACACACTTCCAAAAACATGCCTATGATGCTAAGGGATTATGATTTACATTTTTAAATGTGGCATTCAAGCTGAGAAAATTTCAAGTTAATATTATTAGTCCATACCACCCAGAGTAATTTTTTTAAATGTATCGGATTATAAGTAACACTGGGAAAGAAAGGCACCAGACAGAAAAGCAGAAACCATGAAAGGAAACACTGCCAGATCTGATGGATAAAATTGTGGACAACTATTCGGCAAAAGGTTCCATACCCCAGGCCAAAAGGCTAATGAAAAGCTGAGAGAAAAGATCTTTACAAACATTAACTTCAAAAGATAGAAAAGGACACATCAAACAATAAGGAAAAGACAATTCCCATAGAAGAGATAAAGAATGAAATAAAAGTTCTTCAAAACAAATTATAATGAAAATACAACATACAGAAACCTCTGGGACGCAGCCAAAGTAGTTCTCAGGGACCAGTTCACAGCAACAGACAAAAACATTAAAAAAGGAAGAAAGAAGCACAGTTAATGATCTAAACTCAACATCTTCATCAAATGTTGTTGTTGTTAGGCACCATCGAGTTGTAGATGACTCAGAGCGACCCCATGAACTAAAGGCCTGAACACTGTTCATAGTGTTTCCAGAGGCAAGCCATTTCAGAAGTGAATGCTACTCATGCTTCCAGGCTTGTTTTAATCGGTAAGCTCCAGCAAACACTGTCCACCATGGGTAACCATTATCACATTTGGCACATCAGTGTCACAGTGTTCAGCATCACAGCAATCACGAGTTACCTCTGTACAACAATGTGCAGACCAGTGCTATACCACCTAGAAGAATGGATGACAGAAAAACAACCTCTAGAAGAAAGGAAATAATCAGAACAAGAGCTGAAATCAACAAGACAGAAAATAGAAAAACAACTGAAACCATCAACAAAACCAGTAGGAGGTTTTTCAGAAGGGTCAATAAAATTGACAAACCACTGGCAAACTTAATTAACAAAAGAAAAAGAGAAGAAGGCACTAATAACTCGACTAATTAATGATAGAAGTGACATCACAAGAAAACCAGAGAAAATTAAATCTATAATATCAGAATATTATGTAAAGCTATACTGATAATTGAAAGACATATTGCGATGGGAAAGTCTGCTGTTAGGGACCTTTCCAAAGTTCTGAAGAGCAATGGTGTCTCTCTGGAGACTAAGGAGGATAAAAGGAGAATAGATGCCTTCAAGTCGTGGTGCTGGAGAAGAGTCTTGAACATGCCGTGGACTGCCAAGAAAACAAATAGGTCTGTCTTGGAGAGGGTGAAACCAAGTCTCTCCTTGGACCGTAGGATTTTGAAGCTCCACCTCACTTACTTTGGGCACATGGCCAGGAGAGATCAGTACTTGGAAAAGGACATCATACTTGGAAGGGTGGGTGGACAGCTCAGGAGAGGGAGAACCTGATGACAACTGGGGCGATGGGAGTTGGTGCGTCAGAATAAGTGAGTGGCTTAGGACAGGGAAGAGTTTATAGAGCTGCTGTACATAGGGTCACTTAGGCATTGAAGGGAACTCAACCAGTAACATTCTTTGGCAGGTCTGGAAGCAGGAGTGGCATTCACTTCCTAAACAACTTGCCTCCAAAAACTCTATGAATTTTGATAAATGTCAATAGTTGTACAGGGTCTTCAGGCCTTCTGTTCATAGGGTCACCATGAGTCATGCTCAATTCAAAGGCAATCAACAACAATATATGGAGATGATATGATAGCACATACAGAAAACTCCAAGGACTCAACAGAAAAACTGTTAGAGTTAGTGGATCTGTTTAGTAGTGCTGCAGGACACAAGAACAATATCCAAAACACAGTGGGATTCCTCTACAATAACAAAGAAAACACAAAATGAAACTAAGAACACAAAACCATTTACAATAGCTAACCACAAACTGAGATACTTGGGAGAGAACCTAAGCAGAGACAAAAAACCTCATCAATGAAAACTACCGAATATTTCTGCAAGACATAAGAAAACAGATTTCATGTTCATGGATAGTAAAGTTCAATATTGTGAAGGAGACAATCCTACCAAAAGCAATCTGCACATTCAACGCCATCCCAATAAAGATACCAAATTAATTCTTCAAGGATTTGGAAACAGACCCCCAATAAGCATTTCTGAAAAATAAAAATGAAATTGGAGGCATAACACTTCCTGACCTCAAAATCTACTAGAATAGCTTATTAAATAAAAGGAGTGAAATAAATAGTATCTCAATTTTTTCAAATTGGTATTTTATGAGAACTAATAAAGTCGAACATTTTCCTCATTTTAGTTAGCAATGTTACTACTGCTTTTCATCATGGATTTGAAGTTGTTTTGAGAGTAGATACTAAAACTCTATGTCATACAGAATGCAAATGTTTTTATTAATACATTGTTTAACTCAAATATTTGTCCAGGGATCTTTTGGCATATCAAATTGTAAAAATGTATATACAACATTCTATTTTTGGGTTTTGTCTTCATTAAAAACATAATTTCTTCAAACAAACAAACCCAAAACACCAAAAAAACACCACCTACTACACAGTGGTAGTAACCAAAACAGCACAGCACTGGTACAAAGACAGACACACAGACCAATTGAACAGAGTTGGAACCCAGAAATGGACCTACCTTTCTATGGTCAACTGAAAAATGACAAGGAATTACTACCAATCAAAAGAGTAATTGACAACATCTTTAATAAACGGTGCTGGCAAAACTAGATTGCTACCTGCAGAAAGCTGAAACACGATCCACATCCCACACCATACACAAAAATCAATTCAAGGTGAAGCAGAGTCCTTGGAGTAAAGTCCAAAACCATAAAGTTCATCAGAGACAAACTAGGATCAAGCTTAGAAGGCCTATTCTATGGTATAAAGATACTGCCAAATACAGACAGAAATGCAGAGTCTGGTGAGGATAAAATTGATGAATGAGACCTTCCAAAAATTAAATCCCTGTGATTATCAAAAACTTTTTCCAAAAGAGTGAAATGAAAACCTACCAAATGGGAACAAACATTTGGCAATACCATCTCAGACAAGGGTTTCATATCAAAAGTTTACAGAATCCTTCAGAGCCTCCACAAAAAAAAGACTGGTAACACAATTAGAAAATAGGCAAAAGACATGGGAAGACTTTTCAAAGAGAAAGACATTGTTGGATGGCCAACAGACACATGAAGAAATGATTAAAATAACTGGCAATAAGAGAGATGCAAATCAAAACCACAATAAGATACCATCTCATCCCAGTAGCAGTGGCAAAGTTTAGCAGGGCAGCAAGTAATAAATGTTGGAGAGGACGTAGAGTTGGAAACTCTCATACACTGTTGGTGAGATTGTAAAATGGTGCAATCACTCTGGAAGACAGTTTGGTGTTTCCTCCAAAGCTTGAACACAGAAACTCCATATGACCCAGCAGTTCCACTATTACAAATATATCGCAATAAAATCAGAACTGAGACACCAACAGAAATTTGTACACCAATGTTCACAGCAGTGTTACTCACCATCGCAAGATCATGCAAACAGCCCATACGTCCAATCACTAGCAAATGGACTGAGAAACTGTGGTACATTAACACAATGTACTAATTTACTAAATACTATGAAATACACTCATAGATAAATACAAAATACAAAAAATATTAAAATATAAATCCTATGTAAGTGTACTAATTTACACAATACTATGCAGCACTCACGAACATCAGTTTAAAAAAATACTACGTGAACTTGGGAGAGGCTGGAGAGCTTTATATGCTGAGTGAAATATCACAGTCTCATAAGGGCAAATACTGCATAAGACCATTATTGTAAAAATAGAAGGATAACTAGTAAAACATGTATGGGAACTCAAGAGGGGGTAGTGGAGGGGTGGGCTGAGGAGGGGCGAAACCACGGGCTGCACAGTTTGATGGGTGGAAGGAAGGCAAGAAGGAAATGGGAAGGATCAAGGCAAAAAGGCAAGGTAAAGATTGTCCAATGGCGATTGATTTTATGAAACATGATGCAAGAGAATAACCGTGTGAAAAGTATTAATGAAGAACAGTGTGAAGCGCAATGTGTATGAACTTTTTAAGCAAACCAAAAAAAAAAAATAAAAATATATATATATATGAAAAGGCAATTCCCCACTGAAAAGGCTGTGGTCAGTAACCAGACGAACAAGTGCTCCATCTTGTGGGTAATGAGGGAATTGAGAAGATAAAAGAAAGCTTTGCCAGTAAGATGCACATAGAAGGGTAGAGATATGATCTGTTATGGGAAAATCAGAAAATGTGCTGGTGGGAGTATCTGTTAGTCCTTTAAATACATACACCCTAATGCTCGTCCTAAGCATCTGTGTTTGAAATGCACAAGGGCTTAAACATGCATAAGGCCATTCACTGCATTTATATCAGGGAAAATGAATTCTGAAACAGGTACATTCCTTCTATGAATTACTGCTGTTGCTGTTGTTAGTTGTTTTAAGTCAATTCCAAGTGATGTGACCATGTGTCAGCACAGAACCAGCCAACTGGGGGTTTCCGTGCCTTCTTTATGAACGCAGTCAGGTGCTAATGGGTGGATCTGTCAACCTTTAGGAGTCAAACACAGACTGCTTGCCTATGGTACTCACTCTCTGAAACAGCCTCAAGGTATACTGTGAATACACACCCATGTTTACAGTGGCTTTGTTCACAATGGCAAAGAGCTGGAAACAACCTAAGTGCCCATCAACAAATAGATAGAGAAGCTCTGGTATATTCACACAATGGAATACTATGCTGTATTGAAAAACAGGGAACTCATGCAATATTATTAAAAATGTGTGACCCTGGAGGACATTATGCTGAGTGAAATATCTCCGTCACAAGAGGATAAATACTGCATAGTGCCACTGTTATAGACGGGACTGACATCAGGGTTGGGGTGAGACTGAGAAAAATTGGATAAATTATGTATACTGCATTGAAACAGATGAGGGAGAGAACTGTTTAAAAGTGATATATGATTGGGTATTATGATTATGACAAAAGTCCAGAATGAAGGTTGCATAGTGGAGTATACTGGGGGGTGAGGGGGTTTGTGTATCAATGACATAATCTTTCTTTTACTTTTCAAAGAGAAGAGTGAACTGGGGGAGAGGGGTGAGCAGGAAGAAAAATGCAACAATGAATGAATAGAAATCCAAAATCTCTGTAAATGTTCATTAAAATTAATTTAAAAAAATACACTATGAGTCAAGTCTCTAATATGTATTTTTTTTTAAAAAACCATGCAGATGTATGAAATGTTCAGGGAAAGCAGGAGGCAGATCCAAATTACCAGTCTTCATGGCCTTCATGAAAGGAGGAGTGTGGTCAATCTTTTCCTGAATGTATTTCTATTCCATTTTGGTACTTTGTAAGAATGCATATATAGAGTATGCTTTCATAAATTTCAAAAGAAAACAAATCAAATCAAATGCTTTCTCTGAAATGAGAAGTTCCCTAATTCTTAGGGAGTCTTTCATGTAACAGCAGTTAAGACGCTCTCTAAGCAGAGGGTTTGGCGTTATTCTTAACTACGTGTTACTTACCGCCTGTGATGTGGATACAACGGTAGTGCTCACTGGGACCTGTCGAACACTGGGGGCTCCTGTTCCGATGCTGATGGGGGTGTTTGCTGTCCCAGATGCCATTGCCACAGTCTTGGACACAGCTGCATTCATACTGGGCAAGGACACTGCAGAAGTCTGTACGGTCCCAGACCCACTGGCCACCGAGGACCCTTGCTTGGCATGAGCGGCAACTGTGATGGTCTGGCCTGCTTTAGGAGGCATCATGCCCAGTCCCTGCACAATGCGAATGGTGGTGGCTGGTTTTGCTTCAGACGAGGCTATGGTGTTTTTCCCCTTCTGGTCTGCCACACTTACACCAAGTGCAGGCATCAAGCGAAAAGCTGAACTTGAGGCTTCTGCTGGCTTGAGATCAGGAGTCACCTTGACCACAGTGGTGCCTGCTGGAGTGGATGAAGTAGCACTGGCTGAACTGGCTTTGGCAGGACTCTCAGTTGCATGGACTGGGTTGGAGGTGACATGTAAAGTGGCAGAAATACCTTTGCCTGCAGTGCCACTTCCTGTCCCAAAGAGGTCCTGGGTCAATTTGACTGTGGTGACCTGGGATTTGGCCAGTGTTGCCATCATGTCTGGCGTGATCCTCAGGACTGTCTGGCCTTTGGCATCTGTGGTGATAGATGAGGGTGGCAGCCGCAACACATCCTTGCCCTGGATCCGGAAGTTGGTGGCTGTGAGGGGAATGCTGCTGCCTGTCTGTGGCTTCACACCAAGCTGCCCAGTGATTGCCACCTGGAAGGATAAGGAAGAGACTGATGAGTGTGCTGTGTCAAGCTGGCTAGGGGATACAACGAGACAAACCTTCATTGCACAGGTACAGGTGTTTAGTTTTGCAGCCTTCTGTTTTGAAAAACTGTAGTAGGCGTTCACAACAGTAGAGAACAGCATCACAAATGCATTACCTAGCCTTATCACTCACCAATCCTATTTTATCTCTCCATTTTGGAGACGGGAATGGGAAAGAAACTGAATTCTGAAGATTGGGTTCACCAGATCCAAACCCTAACCTTTTCAACTACGTGCTAAGCAGCTGAAATTTAAGACCGTGAGTAAGGATGACAGAAGAATCATTGGGGTCTTTGAGCTGTTGTGCTGGAGAAGAGTACTGAATATTCTATGGACTGTCAAAAGAACAAACAACGATGTCATGGAGTACATGTAACCAGGTGCTCCTCAGAGTCTGGGATACTCTGGGCTTGTTGTTAGGAGCCAGTCCTTGGAAAAGGACATCATGCTGAAAAAGGTGGAGCACAGGGGAAGGAGGGGAACACCCTCAACAAGATGGACTGACACAGTGACTGTAACAATAGGCTCAAGTGTGTCAGAGATGATGGGGATGGCACAAGATAGAGTAAGGTTATGATCAACTGTTTTAAGGGTCATTATGAGTTGTAGACAACTTGACAACACCAAGTGGGAAAGAGGGAATTGGAATATTTTAAAAGTAAGCCTAAATTACCATTTTACTGATCAGTATTTCTGTACTCATCTCCAAATGTTCTGGTCAATACTAGACAAAGTTAACAACCTTGCAACACTTAATACACTCATGTTACCAACTACTTAAAAATGTCTGTTTACACTTAGGACAACTTTCCATTTGAGGGCAGTAGTACAACAGTGAAGAGTGTGATTCTGGGGTCAGATTTACAGGTTCATATAGCAACTCCATGATTTACTAATTTAAACAAATGCTGTGGTTTGAATGCACAAGCAGATCCATAGGAGAAAGATCCAAAGACAGGCAGTTTGAATCCACCAACTGCTCTATGCAAAGAAGATGGGTAATTTCCTTCCACATGATTTACAGCCTCAAAAACCTGAAGGACTCTTAGGTGTTGGAATCGACTCGATGATAGCCAGTCTTTGTTTGGTCCAAGCCAACCATCCCACATAATCTTGTTGGCCGACTCAGGGACTTCTTTCTGTAATATAATCAATTTTTCTTCACTCTACTAGATCATTAAAAAACATTATGATGGACAGAGAAGAGATTGAAACTGTCAACAGCCTCATTAACCACCCTTTGTACCAGCAATCAGGAAAAAGGAGACACAATGTACTGGGAAGGTCTGGAGTTTGCCACCTCAACAAATTATGAAGGAGTAATGATGTCAATTTGAGGACTAAGGAGCATCTAATTCAGGCCATGGTCTTTCAGATCACTTGCTATGCATCTGAGAGCTAGACAATAAATAAGGATGACAATAAGAATTGATGCCTTTCCACACAAGAAGATATATGCACACTCACGTTTATCACGGCTTTGTTCATAATACTAAAAACAACCCAAGTGCCCACCAATAAACAAATGGATAGAGAAGCTGTGGTATATTCACACGATGAAATAACTACACTGCATTGAAAAACAAGAAACTCACGAAATATTATTCAAAATGAGTGGCCCTGGAGGACATTATGCTGAGTGAAATACCTTAGTCACAAAAGGACAAATACTGCTTAGTGCCACTGTTGTAAAACAGGACTGACCTCGGGGTTGAGGGGAGACTGAGAAAGATGGGTTCAATAATGTATACTGCATTGAAACAGATGAGGGAGAAAACTGTTTGAAAGGGATATGTGATTAGATTTTATTGTCATGACAGGAGTCCAGAACGAAGCCTGCATAGTAGATGGGGGAGGGATTGTATTAACAAGAAAGAATTTTTCTTTTACTTTTCAAAGAGAAGAGTGAACTGGGGTGGGGAGGAGGAACGGGCAGGGAGAAAAGTGCAACAATGAATGAATGGAAATCCAAAGTCTCTATAAATTTTCATTAAAATGAATAATAATAGGTGAGCTCTGGTGGCCTAGTGGCAGGAAGCTGCACTGCAGTCTCAGAGGTACACGGTTCAAATCCATTAGATGCTCTGCTGGAGAAGGAGGAACAATCTCCTCCTGTATCAGTCAGATCTGATTTGATGGTACACAGAAAAATAATGAAATAAAATAAAATTTTTAAAAAATGAATAATAATAATAATAATAAAATCAAACTTAAAAAAAAAAAAAAGAATTGATGCCTTTGAGCTGTGTGGTGTTGGAGAAAAACACCAAACATCCCGTGGATGACTAAGTGAACAAACAGGTATGTCTTGGAAAGGATGCAGGTGGAGTGCTCTTTGGAGGCATGGATGATGAGACTTCACCACACATACTTCAGGCATGTGGCTAGGAGCAACATTCCTTGGAAAAGGACATGACGCTGGGAAGCGTGAAGGGTCAGCAAAGGACTCCCAACCAAGTGGACTGACATGGTGACTGCCACAAGGGGCTCTAGTGTGTCAGGAAGTGTGAGGATGTGCAGGATAGGTTGAGATTCAGAACCACTGTTCTTAGGGTCACAGTGACTCTTACTTGACTAGACAACACCTAACAACTGGATAATTACCATCAGAATACAAATATGATACACTTATCCTGGAAAAAAAACCCAAATTTCAAAACCGCCTTCACTTTCAGGCCCAGTTCTCTGCTCCGTTCAACTGCAAAGTTCCTCTAAGAACTACCTCTACAACTTCATCTTACATTCTCTTTTTAGCTTTTGGAGAGGTAGGGGAGGTGGTGGCACATTTTGAACATTTTATTGTTGTTTGGGTGAAAGTTTACACATTCAACAATTAATGACACACTAACTGTAATCCTTTGACTTGTAACAGTACTTCTCCTGGGTCCTCCATTTCCAGACACCCGTCTTTCTTGCCTCTAAACTTTGTCAGCAGATGTTACCCTTTTCAGTCTTTTATGGCTGAATGATACATTCTCCTCCATCCCCAAAAAGTCACCAATAAACTGGGACCATTGCTGTCACGCTGGCCAGTTATGAATTTCCAGTGAACTGCCTGTACTTTTATCTATTCTCAACTAAAACTTTCATTGCTTTAATAAAGTTGCCGACTCCTTCCTTCATGAAAATACTTTTCCTCTCTTTTTAATTCTTTATACTGTAATGCTTTTTTTTAAATCTCAATAAACTATATTCCTACCTACCTAGTTGTTCTTAGGTGATGTCAAATCAAAACTGACTCATAGCTGACCCTCTAGCAGGTTTTCAGAGGCTGTAAATCACATAGAAGAAGATGGTCCACATTCCTTCTGTGGAGCAGCTGGTGTAGAAGAACTGTCTGTCTCTGGATTGGTGGCCCAACCACAACTCCTTTCCTACTAGAATTCCCTGTCTCCACAGTGATGCAAGTCAAAAGTCAGTCATTCTAGACTAAACTCCCTTCTCTCATGATCAAGTCACTGGCAAATGACACTGGTCTGACCTTCAAACTATATTTAGAATCCCAATTCTCATTACCATAAATATCTACTTGAATTAAACTAAGTTGGCATTACCTTTTATGCCTCGAATTCTATAGCTGTTTCCTTCCTAGGTTCTCTGCTTCTGTTCTTATCCCACCACAGAAGCCAAATCAAGTTATGATGGTTTGTGATCTCCCAACGGCTCCTCAGACTTTAAATTTAAATGCCTGACTGGGCTTAATATAGGCTATCAATTGATTTAAGCATTGGTAACTTCTATCTTAACATTCTAAAAGCTTATTTTCCGGTTCTTTCGTCAACATGCTGAGCATATTCCCTAGTCACAGCATTTTTCTTTACTATCCTTATGCTTAAAGTGTGTCATAACAGCACACTGTGCTTCCCTTAAATCTCTCCTAAACGCCCTCTCCTCAATGAGGCCTTCTCTGACCATCCTACCCAAGCCAGCACTCCATCACCCTCTATGCTTACCTTATTTACTGAACTTCACAGTACTTGTTATAACCTGAGATTTAAGTGCATTTGCCACTTAAACTCCATGACAGAACACAGTCTGTTTAATACACCCCTGTCCCTGCACATTGGACAGTGCCAGACACAGTTGGGCAATTCAATTCTTAAATAAACAATGGCATATTTTGTCTCCAGTACATAAGTAAATTGGGGATTAACTCAAGTGTGTACCCTTGACAGGACTAGCTGGCCACTCCACCACAGACTCTTCTAACCCGAGAAAAGAACTAGTGGTGCCCAGCTACTAGGGATACAACAGAAGGTCCCAATTCAAATGGGAGGAAAAAAGCACAGCACATTCAAAATTTACAAATTTTTATTAAAAAGACCCAACTCACTAGAGTGAAAAGGACTAAAAGAACACTTGAAACTACTGTCCTAAGATCTCCTTTCAGCCTAGAACCAAAGTCACTCTCAGACACAACCTTTTAGCCAATAATAAACTGGGATATGACATAAACAATAGCATCTATGAAGGATGTGGTAATATTTACCCCAAAACAAAGATGAGAATGGTGGACATGGGCAAGATGGGGAGGAAATGCGGAGGCTACTAATATATCATGAGAACTGAAACCAGTTATGGAATGGTTGGTGTTTGTATAATCTGTTGTGTAAATGTTTGTTATGAAAAACGTTACCCCAAAAAGACAGTGAATCCTGAATGATTCAATGTCTTTATAAAAGCCTCTTTACAGTGCAACTACACAGGAAGTATTCCTAATACAACATGTGCAACTTTATCAATTCTTTAAAGTTTAAACACTACCTTGTCATATTCATAGAAAAAAAGAATAGATCTACTCTAGTTTTTACTTTTTTACTCTCATAAAAAGTTGGCTCTAAATTCAGTACATGTGAAACACACAGCAAGAATTAGAGTAAATCTCTTAGGCATCCATAAAGTCTGAACCATCTTTTCTGGGAACACCAGTATCTTTTCTACAGGACACTCATTCAACTCTCCTTTCTCTAGGACAAAGACTCAGATCCATGCAGGGGTACACTCACCTGCTTGATAATGCTCTGCCCTGTGACATTCTGAATGACGGCTGCCGTGGAAGAACTTGGGGTCGCACTCCCGGGAGAACTGGTGGCCGGCTTGCTCACAGGGCTGGAGGTGAGGCCTGTCACCGTCAGCTCTGCCTGCCCAGCTCCAGGCCGCTGCAAGGTGGCTGAAGTAGCTGGTGCTTTGACGGGAAGAGTGGCCATCACCGTCTAGGTCAGAACATGAAGCCAGCATTCTGATCACACACTGAAGTTTAATGAGCAGAATCTTTCCTACCAGGAGCTCTCCTCTGAGTACCTTCTAATTCTAGCTGGGCATCTCCGGGCAGGTTCTATAACTTCCCAGTGTCTAAGTTCACAGTTATCTAAAGCAAACACTGTACATTTCTTCTATTTGTGTGAACATTTGAATTTTAAAAATGTTATGCAGTCTCTCATTTTACACAATGAGGATAAATATGACAATCATTTCCTTTCTTACAATAAAAGAAATGGTGACAAAGTGGATAAGAATCTTTTCTAAAAATATTACAGTATGGCAAGGACCAAAAGCACAATGGAAAAAGCCTGAGATCTAAAATGACAAAGTTTGGGTTTAAGCACAATCTCTAGCTGGGTCCAGATGTTAACCATGGAAAAAATGTACAAACACTAGCCAGGTCTGAACACTGAATGATGAACATTAACAATAACCTCAGGACTTGCCCATCTAATCAGCAGACTATGCTCCTGTGCCTATTCGCCACATCCCAATGCTTCCACTACCTGGGGCACAACTTTGGTCTGTGCAGCAGTGGCTGGAGCCCGGATTGGAGGTCCTGCTGTCATGGGTGGCAGCGTCTGTGTGGACCCTGTGGACTGCTGGGTCACAGCAGCAAGGCCCGCCTGGGCTACCACGCGCACCTGGGGCAGTCCAGCTGAGTTGGTGTGGCTCACTACGCGTGTGGTGGCCTGAGAAGCGGATGGAGTCTGGTTGGAGGGGGGGGAAAGCATTGTTCCCAGCTGGGGCATCGTTGGTGATGACACCAGAAGAACACTATGAGGAAAATCAGAGAAAATAATGCACTTAGGAAATGCATTAAAAAACAAGTGTGGAAAGGAAAGCTGGGAAAAACAGGGGCTTACCTTGAGCTACTTTTAGCTGGCTCTGACACTGTGCTTGGGGCACTTTTGCTCACTGATGAGACAGGTGGAGGGGAAACAGGAGTAGAAGGCAAGGCTGGAGTGGTGGGAGTCACCGGTGTGACAGGGGTGGGGGGCATACTGGAGTCACTGAGGCTGAGCTGGCTCTGCTCTGAAGGACCACTGAGGACCTTGACGGAACTCTCCTTGCTACCGGACTTCTGTAAACACAGGGAAGAAAATTCAAGGATGTATTAAGGTTCCATGGAAGGAGGGTGTAGTCCCTGTGTTTCTGACACAGCCAAGTGACTCGTTTTTATCTCTGTTTCTAATTTATCTCCACCACAGAAATCAAGAGCGCCTGACCCTTCTAATGCCACTTACCACCTTGGATGGCGGCTTGGGCTTTTGCTGGAGGGCTTTCCTGGCTTTGGCTGCAGCTGCTTGTGCCTGGTGAATTCTCTCTGTAATGAGAGTGGTATATACTTCAATGGTCAGCACCATCCAGGGGAATGTGTTCATGAAAAGCAAGACCTCACTGTGGCTACACGAGGGACAGACTCCCGCCTCTCTATGACTCTCCTGACCAGCTGCCAGTGAAGAGAACAGAAATGGGGAAAATCAGCAACTCCAGTCTAGCTGGACTCAATGCCCCAGAGGTCTCACACACCAAACTCTTCCTCGCTGCGGTCACGATGCAAATAGATCCACAGTTTCCGCCCAATGTCATATTTCACACAAGGGTCTTTTTCATAATGAAGCCGGTCTAGGGCACCGCTCACTACTGTGTTGACCTAAAGAGAAAAATACACGAGTAAGTCATGAGTCACAGAGCAGCTAGTTATTTCTTTTTTCCTGCTTTATTTATTTTGTTGCTAGTGCCAGTATACACAGTAATCATACAAATTATTGGGACAGTGACCAGAAACAACAACTAGTAAACAAACAGATTACAGCTCAGCCTGATTGTACTCCAAATGGCCTTACTAACCCACTTCACAAAGCAAGACAGGAGACTCCCAGTTGTCAAAGTCAAGGATACTTTGAATGAAGTAAATGATCAGTCATCTCTTTTAGTGTAAGTGGAAAGAAAGCTTATCAACAAATTCATCATACTCTTTAACAGTAAGGATTTTAGGTCACCACTGAAATTTGATGAGATCCCTCTTTTCTCCTTCCTCATACATTTTATTTAAAACTTGGTTCCATTTCCTCCTAAACCTCCTTAATGCTATTTGGAACAGGGCAGAAACAAATGCTCTTTTCTCTATCCTTACCTGAGTGCTGGTGACATCTGGTGCAAGAAACTGGGAATCCTTGAGCAGTTCACAGATCTCTGCCCTTGTGCCCTCCCCATTAGGCAGCCGAGCTGCAGCATCGCGAACTGAAAAAGCACAAAACAGCCCAAGAGTGAATCAGAATATCCCTGAGGCACAGCGCCCTGAGATTATGCTTTCACTGCCTTATCAAGATTCTTAGGTCACACTGCCCCCTGTGGCCAACAGCTCTGCCATCAATTTGATTCCAACTCATGGGACCATGTACAAAAGACTGAAATCTCATCCAACCCTTCAGCACCCTTATATCCTGTGATGTGCTCAATCCTGCACTGTGTCACTGTTACCAACACTGCATCAATCCTGCTCTCTGGGAGTCTTTCCTTCACAAGCAGGAAGTCTTTCTCCAGGGACTGGCCCCGCCTGAAAAAACTTACTCAGAGGATGTGAGACAAAGCCTCATCATCCTGTTACCTCCACAGACAAACTGACTGCATTTCTTCAGAATGGATTTGTTTGTTCTTTTGATAGTCCAAGTATACTAGGAGTGCATTCTCCTCACATTATCAGGCAATTTTCATGAACATCTTAGAATTAAGAGGGTACTCATCATTATTTTGAAAGATCTTTTACTAAAACCTGTTACTTAACAGGATAAACAAAAGGATTTCTGAATCATAAATTTCAATACAAATGACTCAATAACTCTATACAGTTAAAAATATAAACAGGAAGGAGTCTATAGGTTTGACCAGATGCCAAAGAAATTTACCACATCTCTTTAAAGGAGTAAGAACTCACAAGAAACAAATTTTTTTTTTAAATTTATTTTTTTAAAAAAATTTTTTCATGAACATTTACAGAGATTTTAGATTTCCATTCATTCACTGTTGCATTTTTTCTCTCTGTCCACCCCTCCACCCCAGTTCGCTCTTCCTTTTGAAAAGTAAAAGAAAAATTCCTTCACTGGTATACAATCCCCCTGCCCTGAGTACACTCCACTATGCAACCTTCATTCTGGACTCTTGTCATAATCATAATACCCAATCATGTACCACTTTTTTTTTTTCATACCTGTTCCTAATAGTTTATTATTAATCACCGAGTACTGTGTCTCCATGAGTGAGCTCTGGGAAGGGGGGGTCACTATTCATTAGTTCTCCCCAACACAGGGGAAGAGTAGTGTAGGAAAAGGCCTAGCCCAAGCCTCGAGGGTCCCAGATCCGAGTTTCAACAGAACAGGGTTTGGCCTTTTCCTGGGTCAGTATAAGGCACCCAGGCAGGGGCACAGATGGGGACAGAGGGCCTAGACTTGTCCTCTGCCTGCCAGTCTAGTTGTGTCTGGAGAAGTATTCCTTGCTGTCATCCACATTGGGCTTGATCGTGTCACTGCCGGGCTTCCAGCCAGCGGGACATACTTCCCCATGCTCATCTGTGTACTGGAAGGCCTGGACCAGCCGCAGAGCCTCTTCCACGGAACGCCCCACAGGCAAGTCATTGACTGTGATCTGACGAAGGATACCCTTGCCATCGATGATAAAAAGGCCCCTGTAGGCAAAGCCCTCATCTTCCTTCAGCACACCATAATCAAGGGACAAGCTTCTTGTCACATCTGCCAGCAAGGGGATGTTCAGAGGGCCCAAGCCTCCTTCCTTCCAGGGTGTGTTGATCCAAGCCAGATGCGTGAACTGCGAGTCCATGGAGACCCCCAGCACCTCGCAGCCTAGCTTGCGGAAGTCGTAGGCATGCTCGCTGAAGGCAATGATCTCGGTAGGGCACACGAAGGTGAAGTCCAGCGGGTAGAAAAAGAGCACCACGTACTTTCCTTTCTAGTCAGAAAGCTTCACCTCCTTGAAAGCACCATCCACCACTGCAGTGGCCTGGAAGCTGGGGGCGGGCTTTCCGATGTGCGCGTTGCCAGAGGCCATGACTGAAAGCTGCGTGGGGTAAGGCCGGACACGAGGACAGGAGCAGTGCAGACTCCATGTACCACTTTTAAACTATTCTCTCCCTCATCTGTTTCAATGCAGTATACACAATTTATCCAGTTTTTTTTCAGTCTTACCCCAGCCCTGATGTCAGTCCCATTCTCCAACAGTGGCACTACTCAGTATTTGTCTGTTTTTGACTGAGATAATTCACTCAGCATAATGTCTTCCAGGGTCACCCATTTTGAATAATATTGCATGAGTTCCTTGTTTTTCAATGCAGCGTAGTATTCCATTGTGTGAATATACCACAGCTTCACTATCCACTCGTTTGTTGATGGACACTTAGGTTGTTTACAACTCATTGCTACTGCAATAAACATGGGTGTGCATATATCTGCTTGGATGTCAGTTATGGTCTCTTTGGGGTATATTCCCAGTAGTGGAATTGCTGGGTCAAATGGTATCGCTACTAGCAACTTTTTAAGAAAGCGCCACACTGCCTTCCGCAGTGGCTGCACCATTTTACACTTCCACCAACAGTGAATAAGGGTTCCAGTTTCTCCACAACCTTGCCAGCATTTGTTTGCTGTTCTGTTAAATTTTGCTATTCTTACTGCGGTGAGATGATATTCCATAGTTGTTTTGATTTGCATTTCTCTTAGAGCTAGGGACTTTGAACATTTCTTCATGTGCTTGTTGCCCATATTAATGTCTTTTTTGGTGAAGTGTCTGTTCATATCTTGTGCCCATTTTTCAACTGGATTATTTACCTTTATCTTGTTGTAGTGCTCAAGTATTTTATAAATTCTAGATATATAAGTCCCTTATCTGACATGTCATTACCAAATACTTTCTCCCAATCTGTGGCTTCCCTTTTTACCCTGTTGGAGAAGTTTTTGAATGTGCATAGGGATTTGATTCTTAGAAGGTCCCATTCATCTACTTTATCTTCTCCTGGTTGTAGATTTTTTCAGGATACTTGGAAGACTGTTCCAAGATTTTCTTTAATGATGTTTATAGTCCTTGATTTTAGTCCCAGGTCCATTATCTACTTTGAGTTGGTTTTTGTATATGGAGTGAGGTGTGGATCTTGCTTGAGTCTTCTGCAGATAGTTTTCCAATTTTGCCAACACTACTGGTTAAAAAGGCGGTTGTTTCCCCACTTAACTGATTTCACCTCCTTGTCAAAAATCAGTTGACCATAAGTAGATAGACTGATTTGCGGGTTCTCAATTCTATTCCATTGATCTACGTGTCTGTCATTGTACCAGTACCATGCTGTCTTAACCACCACAGTAGTGTAATAGGATTTGAAATCAGGGAGTGAGATGCCTCCTACCTTTTTCCTATTTTTAAGGAGTGCTTTGCTTATTTGAGGCTTCTTTCCACTCCAAATGAAACTGGAGATTGCCTTTTACATCTCGTTGAAGAATGTGATTGATATTTGTATTGGGATTGATTGAATGTGTAAACTGCCTTTGGTAGTATTGCCATTTTCACAATATTGAGTCTTCCTATCCATGAGCAAGGGATATTCTTCCACTTCTTCAGGTCTCTTTTTGTTTCTCGTAATAATGTTTCATAATTTTCTCTGAATAGATCCTTTATGCTTCTGGTTAGACTTACTCCCAAGTATTTAATCTTGTGATTCGCTATTGTGAAAGGGTACTGTTTTTCTTAGCTCTGGCTCTGTATTATCTTTGTCACTGGAGAGAAATCCAACTGATTTTGTATGTTGATCTTGTATCCTGCTACTTTGCTGAGTTGGTCAACTATGTCCAATAGTTTTCTTAATGAGTCTTTAGGGTTTTCTAAGTATACTATCATATCATCTGCATTGTGAGATAATTTTACTTCCTCTTTGCCAATTTGGATACCTCTTATTACCTTCTCCTGTCTTATTGCTATCGCTAAGACTTCCAATACAATATTGAATAGGAAAGGTGATAGTGGGCATCCTTGCCTAGTTCCTGTTCTTAAAGGGAACGCCTTTAGCCTCTCTCCACTGAGAACAATGTTGGCTCTTGGGTAGGAAACAAATTTCTACACTAAAGCTAAAACTATTTAGCTGGCCTTGGAATCATTTCTGAATTCAAGTGAATGTAAACTCAAGCTTCAGGGAAGAAATTCCAATTCATGGAATAAATCTTGGGACTTACACCTCTCAACTCTACTTCCCAAGCTCGAAAGCTGTAAGAAGCCCTTAAAGTCTTCCTACATGGGGGATAAAAATCACTTTTGGGTAAAAAGAGAACGAGCAGTAAGTACATAAAACATACCAAGAGACAGGATGGTGACATAGGCAGGCCGGTCTGAGCGCAGCAGGGAGTGCTCTCTGGCTTTGTTGAGGGAGGTCTCCTTGTCAAATACCCCTTTCACTGGCCCCACCACAGACTCAAAGCCATGCAAGCGAAAGGTGAAGGCCTTATGGGGCTGGCTGTATCTGTAACGCTCCTACCAAGAGAAAGGGAAAAGACTCCTCAGTCAAAATCAGGGTGGTTCTCGTCAACTCACTCAGAACAAGGTGGGCCGCTTGGAGAAGTGAAACTTGAAGGGAAGGTTAAGAATTCCGAGTCCACTAGAGTGTAAAAAGATGAACCTCAGAGTCCTAGGTCCTGAGCAAGGGGACCAATGAGATCCACTAACACCAAGTCAAGTCCAGCTCATGGCCACCCTCCTAGGCTTCCATGGCTGTAAATCTCAACACAAGCAGACTGTCTCTTCTTTCCCCCATGGACTGGTTAACGGATCAGAAAAACCAAGTGGTCAGTTACAATCCAACATATAACCCACCAAAGCAAAAGGACAAGAAAGGAAATACAAGAAGGTTTTGCTGTTCAAGGAGAACTCATCACAGCATTTTTCATTTCCGTTCCCTCAACATTTCTACAATCCCAACCAATCTGGACTCTCAAGAAAAGTCCTCACTGACACAGCCATCACAATGGCTTCTAGGTATTTCTTACCTGCTCCTGAAAAACCCGTTTCTCCTCTCCTGTGCTAGGCCGTACCACATAGTCAGTTCTTCTGGAACATAAAGACATTATTTTCAACTTTGAAGAATAACAAATGATTTATTTTCTTTTCTAGCACCCAGAATCATTACTTAAAACATTCCCATTCTTTTACCATTATGAAAGGGAAAAAAATGTACTATTTCTGTTGTACAACAGAACACATTTAGATAACAGAAACGGCAAAGGAGGTTGAATTTTCAAGTATGGAAATACAAAGGAAGAGGAACAGTTGTAAGTAGACACT